AATTGTGCTTCCTTGTGGTTTTTAGTTTTGATAATTAAAAAGAAAAAAAACAAATCAAATGCCTGTAATCCCAGCACTTTCGAGGCAGAAAGATTGCTTGAAGCTGGGAGTTTGAGACCAGCCTGGGCAACAAAGCTAGACCCTGCCTCTACAAAATATGTAAAAATAGCCAGGCTTGGTAGCACACACCTGTAGCCCCAGCTGCTCAGGAGGCTGGAGACAGGGGGATCCCTTGAGCCCAGGAGTTCAAGGCTGCAGTGAGTTGTGGCTGCACCAGTGCACTCCAGCCTAGAGACAGCGAGACCCCATCTTGTAAAAAATAAGACCAAAATACGGGACCGTAATTTATATAGCATTACTTTACAGATTGAGTTTATTTTCATTTTCACTTATTCGAATAATTACTTCACTGCATATGCTTTTTTATCAGACATGTTTTTAACTTACATTTTCTAATCATTCATTTCAGTCTTAAAATCCTTGCATGTTTGATGACTGCTAAGTTCCTGCATACAGAAATTCGAGAAAAAGGCGGTGCTTATGCTGGAGGCGCAAAACTCAGCCACAATGGGATTTTCACCTTTTACTCTTACAGGTGAGGTTTTCTCTGTTCCACACATCTGGACGCACACATCGGTTCACCTGTAGTCTTCTACTTGGGATTATCTGTCGTTTTCTTCTACTGCAGTGAACTTTAGAAAAAGAAAAGTTCTTCTGTTTGTTTCCTTTCGCTTGTTGAGCACTTAGCCACACGCAGCAGTGTCCTTCTGGTACAAGGATTAGGGCCAGCAGCCTAAACAGGGAGCGTTCTCCTTCAGTAACCCTGTGTAACCGGCATATTTCGGCAGAACACGGTAGTGCCTCCGTCCATGGTTTTGCTTTCCACTGTTTCGTGCCCACAGCTACCCTCAGTGTGGACACGTTAAATGGAAAATTCCAGACATAAATACTCCCTCAGTTTTAAATGGCACACCATTCTTCGAAGCCGTGGGATGAAATCTCACACTGTCTGCACTACCTGCCTGTGGGTCATCAGTAGCCTTATAGGTCAGATACACTGCCGGGTAAGAGCTTACGTTCAAAAAACCCTTGTTTCAATTTATAGTAGCTCTTCACCATACCTTTTATTACATTATAATTGTTGAATTTTCTTAATACCTTGCTGCACTTAATTTGTAAATTTTAACAAAGATACAGAAAAAAAAACATAATATCCATAGGACTGAGCACTGTCTGAGAATGGAGCCCTGCCCTGGAAACATAGTATCCATAGGACTCAGCACTGTCTGAGGAGGATGGAGCCCTGCCCTGGGAACACAGTATCCATAGGACTCAGCACTGTCTGAGGATGGAGCCCTGCCCTGGGAACACAGTATCCATAGGACTCAGCACTGTCAGAGGATGGAGCCCTGCCCTGGGAACATAGTATCCATAGAACTCAGCACTGTCTGAGGATGGAGCCCTGCCCTGGGAACATAGTATCCATAGAACTCAGCACTGTCTGAGGATGGAGCCCTGCCCTGGGAACACAGTATCCATAGGACTCAGCACTGTCAGAGGATGGAGCCCTGCCCTGGGAACACAGTATATATAGGACTCAGCACTGTCTGAGGATGGAGCCCTGCCCTGGGAACACAGTATCCTATAGTACTCAGCACTGTCTCAGGATGGAGCCCTGCCCTCGAGGTATTGAAACAGCCCTAGTTGATGGGGCTGTGATACAGTGTAAGAGTGTTCTTAGCTTATTTCATTTGTAGGTGCCTGATGTGGATGCTGTTCTGTTAGCTTTCATAAACATAACACCATTCATCTAAAACAATAAATTCCTGGTATTCTATGGCTCTGCTGCCCAAGAGAAGGTGTATTCTAACACTATGAGAAGCTGGCCAGCCTTGGTGGCAAGTATCTGTGGTTCTAGCCACAGGAGGCCAAGGCAGGAGGATCACTTGGGCGCAGGGAGATTGAAGCTGCAGTGAGCCAAGATGTACCACTGCGTGCCAGCCTGGCTCCTGGATGCATATATAGATGAGGAAGGCAGACATTGCCACTCTAAGGAGCTCTCCTCTTGCTGTGCTGGAAGCCACACTTCTAGACAACAATGGGGAAGGAGCTCACAGCCCCTCTGCAGCTCTGAATCAGGGCGAAGGGAGGGTGGGGCTTCTAAGGCTTACACAGGGAAGTCTGGATTGGCCCCCTCAGACTGATTCCTGGACTATCCTGGGTTTTTCTTAAGGGAGAGTAAAGGACAACCTTAGCTTAATTTTTCCACTTGAATCTTATGTAATTTCCTTGTAATCCTGACCTGCTTCCACCCTCTACTCTCCACTTTCCTCTCCTGATGAGGTCAGAGGGGCGTATTTAAATAATCTGGGGAGAATGTTGTGCAGACGGACCTCGTCTAAGTAGAGGGAGAATGTGTTCAAAGCCTTATGTGATTGGATTTAAGTTTCCGTTGAGAGTAATGAAGTGGTTTGTCAGTGGGCTGTTTGGACTGTAATGTGTAACGTAGAGCTGTTCACACAGGAGATGTTGAACTGTTGATAGAGGGTTGTGATTAACTTGTCCTCCGGTAAAATGCTTGACTGTTTATTTCTCTGGGTTTCCTAGGGACCCAAATACGATGGAGACGCTCCAGTCTTTTGGGAAGGCTGTTGACTGGGCTAAGTCAGGAAAATTCACACAGCAAGACATCGACGAAGCCAAACTTTCTGCCTTCTCGACCGTAGATGCTCCTGTCGCTCCTTCCGACAAAGGTATTGAGTGTGACAGCGAGAATCTCAGCCCACAGCCTTACAGATGGCATTGCCGTTTTCCGAGTCCCCTGCATGCACGGGCAGGCGCATCAGCTTCTGCCATCCCTGTCCTTGCTTGTGATGCGATTTCCATGTCTACAACCCTACACGTGGGACTTGAAACACTCTTCCCGACATCCAGGCAAGAAGAGTGTATCCAGTCATTTCAGTTTTACTGAGCTGAGGCCCAGTGGGGCCAACCCACGCCAGTGTCCTGGCTCAATAGCGTGAAGGGGTACATGGGCATGGCCACGTCACTCTGTAGAGCCACTTCTGCTCACAGCATCATCAGCCTCATGCGGCCCTGACTTCGTCCAGGCTGCAGAAGCAGGCATTGGTAGGGTCAGCGTGGCTTGTGGGAGCTGGAGGTCAGGGTGTGATCTCTGGTCTGTTAGACATGTCTGCGTGGTTGAAGTATGTTCACATGAAGTAACAGTGAGATGCCTGTTCTTCTCCAGGACCCGAGTGCACAGCCCACAGCTCATGGGTGGCAGCTTCGTGGTGCCTGTGCTTTGTCTTCTAGGAATGGACCACTTCCTGTCCGGCCTCTCAGATGATATGAAGCAGGCCCATAGAGAGCAGCTCTTCGCCGTCAGCCGTGACAAGCTCCTGGCCGTGAGCGACAGGTGAGTTGGGGAGCAGGAGAGACAGCGCTTGGGATTTGAGGCCCGCGCATGCCCTTTCACATGCTGACCACGCCTTCCTCTCAGGTACCTTGGCACGGGGAAGAGCACACATGGGCTGGCCATACTTGGACCAGAGAATGCAAAAATCGCCAAGGACCCATCCTGGATCGTCAGTTGAGCAGCCACGGAGCTTCTGACTGCGCAGGAGCTCAGGTGTGCTACACACACACACACACTGAGAAAAGGCAGAAATGTTACTGCTCTTTCCAAGAATATGATGTCATTCTTAAAATTTTGCCAAAGTCATTGACTGGCGAGTCAGATAAAAACTTACCTGTCTTAAGAGTGACCACAAAGATTCATTCAAATAATCATGCATGAAACGCCGAAGTTGTGCTATGTAGAACTTTAGCTCTGTTGTGACAGAAAGGCTTACTTTGCCTGATTAACCCTAGAATATTTATTTAGGAATCTAAAAATAAAGGGCAACGCTGACTTACTTTACTTGAATCATTATTTTAAGTAGCATTTAGGAGTAAAGTGAAAAGCTGCACACGGCTGTCCCACCTGCCTGTGCTGACTTAAGGACTGAAACTGCACCATAAGGAGCGTCCCCCTAACAGGCGTGCAGTGGGGCAGCTGGATGGAAGTCATTCTGAAGAGCAGGGGGGTTGGGGTAAGTGCCCGCCTCGTCTTCACAGACACCGAAAGGTAAGCCTCTGCACCAGCCCTTCCTTGGACTCTGATTTCCTCAACACTGTGTTTTTGGCATCTACTCCACACAGCTGTCATTATTGCAGACTAGATCTAAGAGGCAGAAACGCTGTCCCAACAGGAGGGGGGCTGTCCCCCCAAGAGCTGTGTCTACTCTGGCAAGAGTCATCAGGAGAGTTCCAACCCAGGTTCCAGTGAGGACTGCGGCTTGGCCCAGAGGAGAAGCTGGCTATTAGATTTTTTTTTTTTTTTTTTTTTGAGACGGAGTTTCGCTCTTGTTACCCAGGCTGGAGTGCAATGGCGCGATCTCGGCTCACCGCAACCTCCGCCTCCTGGGTTCAGGCAATTCTCCTGCCTCAGCCTCCTGAGTAGCTGGGACTACAGGCACACGCCACCATGCCCAGCTAATTTTTTGCATTTTTATTAGAGATGAGGTTTCACCATGTCGACCAGGATGGTCTCAATCTCTTGACCTTGTGATCCACCCGCCTTGGCCTCCCAAAATGCTGGGATTACAGGCGTGAGCCACCGCGCCCAGCCCTATCAGATTTTTTAACCACCACCCTCCCTCGGTGGTTTTAATATGCAATTAGGATTGCAGTCAAGAGGGTGAATAGATAAGATTCCTGTTTTTTACTTTACTTTCAAGAGTACAGGAGCCTGGGGTGGAGGCCTGCTGCTGTGGATGGAAACGCCTTGTTTACTTACTGTTACATATTTGCCATGTGTCAAACTACTGGCTTTGTTCTTTTATGACTTGTGCATAGTTCAGTGAGCCCTTTAAAATCTCAGTCTTCGGGTAGCTATAGTTTTGTGGGCAAAGATGAGAAAATATTTTTAATCTACTTAAAAAACAAATGGAGGACTGTTGGAGTTGTAGGCAAACGTTTAATTCTGCTGATACGCACATCTGAAAAAGCATGAGGCACAGTCCACAGACAGCACGCACTGGCTCTGGGGGACATGGGCAGTGACAGGTGCTTACTGATCAGGGATTACTAATACTTGCAGTAAAGTGCTGATAAATAACTTAAGTGTTACAAAAACGGACGGTCCGTGGTGAGGCAGGCAGGGCCATGTCAGACGCTCCAGGGCTGCACGTGCTCCAGCTGGCCTGAGTCCGACACATCGTAGCTCGCCTTGTACTTGGCCAGGATTTTCATGAGGGGCCGCAGCTTCAGCCACCACTGTTCTTTGGGAATCCTGTGCCTGGGATGGAAGCAGAGGCAGCAGTGAACTCTGCAGGTGCCTGGGAGATGCCTCTGCCTGCCCTGTGTGGCCTCACCAGAAAGGCAGGGGTTGTAGGGTTAGCACATTCAACTGGATGATAAAGCCGATTTCAGGGTCAAATGAAACCACTTTTATATTTCTAAAAACTCTTCCCTCTTTCTAAAGACCTAGTATATAACTCCGCTTCAGAAAAGCCATTTTCTCACAACCCTGACTGAGTTGCTGGCAGCGACGGCCGTTCCCCTGCCCTGCACTCACGTCAGTTGGGTTCTCTAAGGCAGTAAGACCTGGACTTACTCAAAATCCGTTTCCTTCTTCAGCTCTGCCACAGGTTGAAAAATGACGTTTCTTTTGCTTATTCCCAGCACACAAACAGAATCATCAGTGGTAAATTTTTTTCCTATAAAAGTTAAAAAAAAAAAAAAAAGTAATAACACCCTATCACCTGGGCAGCTGGGGGAGCAGAATCACAGGGCAAGATGAGAATTGAGGTTCCTCAGAGCTACACTGTGAAAGTAGACTGGAAGCCCAGGTGAGTGACAACAGCCCGCAGCATCCACGCTGGGTTTGCACAGCTCTGCTCTTGCAGGGCTGGGAGAGGGGACCACCCTGACGGCTTCCTCCCTGCCTCTCACTGGTACTTCAGCCACCCCAGCAGGGGCTTCCTGGAAAGGAGCTTTTGTTTTTTTTCCCAGTGGAGGTAAACACATTTTTCACTGAATAGCAGAATAGGGAAATTAAATTACAGGAAAACATTAAGAAAGTTATGATCATGAATATACACAGAAATATCCATAGATAAATTTGCAAAAGAAGAAAATCCAAAAAGTGGAAGTTGATTTAGAAAGAATTGAAGCCAGTCAGTTCTTCAAATAGACAAACTGATTGAAACTCTTCACATTACTGTTTTTTGTACTGGACACTGGAAGTGAGCTATGGCTTGCCCTAATAAAAGCACACATCTGTATGACTGATGAAGCTGAGAGGTAGGGGAGAGAAAGATGCTGGCATAGAGAGCCATTCTCAAGAATGAGCGGGACCAGCCCTGTTGGAACCACTGCGCCTGGCCCAGTGGCTGACGCCTGTAATCCCAGCATTGGGAGGCTGAGGCAGGTGGATCACCTGAGGTCAATTCAAGACCAGCCTGGTCAACATGGTGGAACCCCATCTCTACTAAAAATACAAAAATTAGCCAGGCATAGTGGTGGGCACCTGTAATTCCAGCTACGTAGGTGGAGGCAGGAGAATCGCTCAAACCCGGGAGGCAGCAGTTGCAGTGAGCAGAGATCACACCCACTGCACTCCAGCCTGGGCAACAGAGCAAGACTTTGTCTCAAATAAAACAAAATGTCATGTTTTTTGAAGATTTCTTAGGATATGTAGCTTATATAACTGATTCAAGAAAAAACATGCATAGTTCTATAAACATGAAAAATTCATTCAGCAGTTAAATCTTCCTCAAAGAAAACTGGAGGTTTTAATGAATGGATTAACAGGAGGTTGTCCTACCAAACATCCAAAAACTAGCCCCACTTCAACTATGAGGAGAAATTGCCGGCAAATGTCCAGGATCTCCAGAGCAAAAGCAAGAAGCCTGCACAACAGAACACATCACGACCAAGCTGATCTTAGCGCAACGCCCCGCCCGGCCCCCATACCTCTGCCCCGGGCCGCTTTGAGCTTCGCAGTGATCCACTCCATAGCTCTGGCAGAGATTTTGGTTCCAAAGTTTCTATCAAATGGAGAAGGTGCTCCACCCTGTTGGCGGTTAGAATTACATGAAATATCAGTTATACAGTAACACTTTGCTGTTTATTTTAAAAACATGGTTTCTGTGAAATGGTAGTTGTCATTTCTAACAGACTCAAGTCTGATAATCCATTTTAAATCTGAGATTTGTTCAAGTGTTTAATTTGAATAAGTATTTCCAAGTAAGAGGGTATTACAGTTTACATGAAAGTTGACAGTTAAAATCCCCATTACTCAGACCTCATAAGCAAAAACAAGAATCCTAAAGCTGGTGATGTTTGGCATGACTTAAAAGTTCAGATGTATTGGCAGGGTGCAATAACTTACACCTGTAATCCCAACACTGGGAGGCCGAGGCAGGTGAATCACCTGAGGTGAGGAGTTCGAGACCAGCCTCGCTAACATGGTGAAACCCTATCTCTACTAAAAATACAAAACTTAGCTGGGCATGGTGGCAAGTGCCTGTACTCCCAGCTACTTGGGAGGCTGAGGCAGGAGAACTGCTTGAACCTGGAAAGTGGAGGCTGCAGTGAGCCAAGATTGCACCACTGCACTCCAGCCTGGATGACTGAGACTCCATCTGAAAAAGTTCAGCTGATTTTTATCTCAAAATTTACTTGTAGATAAATGGTTCCCCCCAAAAATGGCTAAACTAAGACATTAAGCTTGTAAAAATGGCATGACAGTGGCTTTGCGGGCCCCTCACCAGGGTCTCGGGCTCACCTGCTGCATGTGGCCCAGCACATTCTTCCTGCAGTCAAACACCCCTTTGCCCTCTTCCGAATAGAGCTGGTAAATGAAGTCGGTGGTGTAGTTTTCGCTGCAGCTCTCATTTCTGCAACGAATGGGAAGGAGCCATTTGTTAAGCGTGCAGTGGGCATGCAGCTCCCTGCTGGTCGGGGGATGGCCTGGGAGGCTGGCCGCCCATGTCCCCTGGCTCTACTGTGACTGTACATCAACACTTGTCCTTCCAGTCCAAGGCTTTGCTTTCTGCAGTTTCAGTTCCCACAGTCAAGTGTTCTACTAAAAGTCCAAAAATATTCAATGAAAAACTCCAGAAATAAATATGTAAGTTTTAAACTGCACGCCATTCTGAGTAGTAGGATGAAATCTCGTGCTGTCTTGCTCTTTCCCACCCAGTCCATCATCCCTGTGTCCTCTGTCTCCACACTGACTGTGCCTCCTCCCCGAGTCACGCAGTAGCCGCCTTGGGTATCAGATGGAAGAACCCTCGGGTATACGGGGGGCGGGTACACCCGTTGGGGTCTTGGGACACATTCCCTGACTGCATTTGCTCCTTCCTTCATAAACGTTAGGTACTAATTAGGGAAATGATTGTGAGTTATCTAAAAGAATAAGACTACAAAGCAAAAATACAGGTTGAAAATCACCCTTTAGTTGTCTAAAGGCAGGCAAGTATTTAGAGCAATGCACCATGACTCTTCCGCATCGCTCAGTGTGTGTAGTGCACGCCAGCAGCAAAGAAATGACCCCTCCTCCAGCCTAAGTCAGCCTAGCATGTAGGAGCCAGGGTGTGGCAGTGCAGGTGAGGTCAGCCCTGGTCTCACTCACCTGAGCACAAGGCCCCTCTGGATGGTGGTCTTCATTTTCTCTGTCAGGTGCTCCACGTTGGACTGGAAAAAGAGTATTGTGTTAATCAGACAATAAACTTCAAAGCACCTACTGTGTGCCAGGCACTGCAGGGCAAGAAGTGCCAACCAAGTGTGGCGGAGGTGTCTGTGGCTCTTGTGGCTCAGGTCTTGGGGAACCTCCCCCAGGCAGGGGGAGCACATCCACAGCAGTGAGTACTGAGGACTGGGTGTGGCCAGCAGCCCTCATGGGTTGTTAGAAACAGCTTCCAGAATCAACAGCGTCCCTCTTTCACATGAGAATTCCGTGCATTTGCCTAACACTCATTCATGTCTCTCGCTCCCTTAAAGGCTGCTGTGTTCTCAGAGTTCTCAGGAAAATGGCCACCTGTGGCCTTTCTGTGGACTCTCAGATGACAGCCTAATGAACAGTTTCGGCCCACAGAAGAATTTTATAGGCTCACATTCATATACAAATTGTTTAAGGAAAAGAAGGTAGTCTTGAGAACAGCAAAGTGTAAAAACATTCTATTTCAGATCATGCTGGGAGGTGAGTTTCTAATCACTCATCCTAAGAAAATGGAGATTTTTACATCTAATCAAAGCTGTCACCAGGCCCAGTGGCTCATGCCTGTAATCCCAGCATTTTGGGAGGCCGAGGCGAGCGGATCACCTGAGGTCAGGAGTTTGTGACCAGCCTGGCCAACATGCTAAAACCCCATCTCTACAAAAAATACAAAAATCAGCCAGGCATGGTGGCACATACCTGTAGTCTCAGCTACTTGTAAAGCTGAGGCAGGAGAAGTACTTGAACCAGGAAGCGGAGGTTGCACTGAGCTGAGATTGTGCCCCTGCACTCTAGGTGACAGAGCAAGACTCCATCTCAAAAAAAAGTCAATTACTTAAGCATGTGCCATGCTAAGTGCGGGTGAGGCATGATCTTTGGATAGATTTTTGAAATAATCATGTGTCGCGTAACAGGGATGTTTCCTGAGAAATGCATTGCTAGGTGACTTAATCCCTGTGCAAACACCCAGGAGCAGAGCCTGCTGCACACCAGGACTATGGTGCTGTTGTTCCTGGCTGCAAACCTACATGTCTGGGGCTGCTGAATACTGCAGGCAGTTAGTTGTAACACAATGGCTAGGATTTGTGTATCTAAACATGTCTAGGCGTGGAAAAGCACAGTTAAAAATAGCTTTTTATAGAAGATTAAAAACTGTACCTGTCTGGGGCAGCTCCATTATAATCTTACGGGACCCACTGTTGAAACATCATGATGCAGTGAATGACCACAAAGACTTCATTTCACATGGGGGAGAGGTTTGTGATTCATGTGTCACATAATTAGTGACGACACCAAGGCCCTTTTTACTCGATCTGTTTGGCTCAGAAACAGGTAACCGAATTTTTCAAGACCGTTGTTGAGTTGGGTCTCACCTGCCAAGGCCTGTCTTCTTGCACGGAGTTTAGCAACTTGTAACATTGTAGGGTCCAGGCCTGGATTCCTCTGTGCCGTCTAAGCAGGGGCAGACCCTGGGGTCAGCGACAGGGACCAGGCCTGGCCTCCCAATCCGTCCATGGCGTGCACTGTGCGTGCTGAGGCTCCTGGCTCCCCGGACACGGCCTGGCCTCCCTACGCATCCACGGCGCACACTGTGCGTGCTGAGGCTCCTGGCTCCCCAGACACCCACCACTCCTTCCTTGGTGTAGCCTCCCCGTGGGGCTCTGGCCACGCCTGGGTGGGGGAAGTGAGTCGGAAGCCACACATGGCTGAACCACCCTTCCCTAAAAGAGCCACAGATGCCAAGAAACCATGGTCGCCTCTGTCAGTTTAGACGCAGGCACAGCGTCAGAGGCCTCGGGATTTAACAGAAGCTGCGGCAACCTTCAGAGCCAGTTGCCGACATGGGTGGTGACTGTTGATGGAGGCTCTCAAATTGTGACACAGTGACAGAACATAACAGATGTATCACTTCTTTGTCGACAAAAGGAACAAGCTTGTCTTTCACACAAAAAGGTAGAAGGTGTCCTCAACCAGGTGCCTCTGCCGTCACCGACACTCGGTCGAGGCACCTGGACACTGCGGAGTGCATCAAGCCTGGCGCATTTTATGCCGCCTCCATCTGCATGCCCCTCAAAAAGCAAACCATCCTAAACATGACTCAGCAGCACTGAGTGGGTCCCACGGGTATAGTCCCCCAGGCCAGCCCCATCACATACCTGTAGGTCCCTGATGTCGAAGGGCTCCTCGAAAATGTACGCAGCGTCGGCTCCAGCCGCCAGCCCTCCCATGTTGGCCAGGTAGCCGCAGTAGCCCCCCATGGTCTCAATGATGAAGACGCGCCGCTTGGTCCCGCTGGCTGACTGCTTGATGCGGTCGCATGTCTGGTCACAGAGAAGAGAGGAGTCACTCCAGTCCAGGGCTGGGTGGGCCCACCACCCCAGAGCTCCCTCGGAAATGAACGCAGCAAGGTCCCCCACCGCGCCTGAGCATGCAGTCCTGGCATTGCAGAGGTGAAGGGTGTGCAGCGGCCAGGTTGTGCCCTCAGAGTGGGTGTGAACGTGCTCTAGTACTCCAGCCCCCTGTGGCAGCCACTTTTTTTTTTTTTTTCACTTGAAATCCAAGAATGGTTTTAATGTGTTGGCCAAGAAAAATAAACTGTTAAGTTCTGTGAGGTCTTCTAAAAATTTACAAGAAAAACTGATGGGCAGTTGTAATCAGCATTGGATGTTATCTTTTCCCCCCTTTTTAAAAAATGACAACAGATACAGTCTCACAAAATACAATAGAAACTTCTTTTATCTTGATTGCCAGAGATGCTCCTTTGCAATGACTTCAGTAACCAAATGGTTGGGCACAACACACAGCTGGCCTTCATTTCTTCAGGGGCTGCTAAACAGAGGCACCCTGATACCCATGGCAGGGGCCTGGCCAACTGCCACTCCCTTCTCCCAGGCCCTATATAAGGGGATGGAAAAGACAACCCTACAAGCCAGCTCACTCCACACTGCTCTGTGCCCGTCCCTGCTGAAGCAGCTTTCACCGGACACAGACACCGTTAGGTGAGAACTGAGATGGTAGGGGAGTGAGTGTCACCTCTCCAGCCTGTCCCTGGGAACTGCTGTGCTACTGTATTAGAAAAGCTCCCCGTGATGTTGAAGTGTTGTCCATCTTCCATCCATCCATGAATGTTATGTTTATGGAAACTCTACTCAAGGGCAGATGTGGTTCTTAGACCCAGGTGCTTGGGGAGGTCTTCCAGATGCATATGCATTGGGTCACAGAGTGAGATGTCTGCCATCTGCCCTCCGTGAGGACCCAAGCTCAGTGGGGAGAAAAACAGCAGAGAAATGCACTGGCCGCCTCCCCACCCACACGCCAGCCCGGCCTGCAGCGCCTCTGCCTAGGCCTCGGCTCCCACCTCGGTGGGGGACCCTCCAATCTGTTCACACAGAACTGAGACCCAACTATGAACACAAATCTGATCCCATTCTGGCTTTGTGCAAAATCCTTTGCTCACTTCAAGAACTTGTGAAGCCTTTCTGCTGCTTGCCTCTGGGACCCGGTCCTCCTAGGGCCTTTGCATGTGCCAATTGCTGTGTGTCACATTCCCACATGGTGGTGGTGGGGGGGGGCAAGTGGCCCCCAAAGGAATCTGGGTCCTAATCCCTGGAGCCTGTGAATGTTCCCCTATGCAGTGAGAAAGGGCACTCCCAAGGACTGCCCAGGTGGGCCTTCGATGCCATCACCTGCATCCGCAGACAAGGGACACAGAGGCAGAAGGCCCCGGAGCCCTGGAGCGGGGCGCTGCACACCCAGATGGGAGGCGGTGGTGCCGGGGAACAAGGAGTGCAGGCCTGCAGCTCTGGGCACCCCAACAGGCCACAAGGGACTCTCCTGGAGCAAACCCTCTGGCCTCAGCCCATGGCTCCTGCCTCCAGACCTGTGGGAGAGTGAGTATGGTTTCCAGCCCCAGGTGTGTGGTGTAACAGCGGCCACAGGACACACACAGGCACCTTCCTCAGCTCTGACCCAGAGAGACGTCATTTCCTCAGGAAAACGCCACCTGGTTTCTAGAACCCAAAGTTCCCTCTGTCAGGGGCTCTCAGGACACCCCACGTCCTCTCTCCATCATCTGGGTGTCTCTCCCTGCAGCTGCCTGTGTGGTTACTTGACTTGGGAGGCTTTTCCTCACTCAGCTGCAAATTCCATGAGGGCAGGAACTGTGGGCTGGGCTTATACCGCTGCACCTGGAGCGGCAGCACCCGGCCGCACCCCGACAGCAGGCGCTCAAGAAATGTTTGTCACTGAATGACGTAAGTGCAGTATTCCCCTGCCAGCCATCCCGACCAAGGGCTGATTGTGCAGGACTCCCTAGCCTGCTCTGTGGTACTCAGCCAAGAGCAAGAGCATGACGAGGTGGCTATGGGCTTCGGATGAGGAGCCACATGAGCATCTGTGCCCGGAAGTGTAGCATCCATTGGGAAATTTCCACCTGAGTGCTTCAGATGAAACGGAAAAGTGCTCTTTCATTAATAAGTCCAGTCTTGATTAAATCATTCCTATCTGTGCTCCCAGTTGCTTGGGCAGCTTCATTTCCTCTCAAAATAATTGGTTGGTGTATTCAAAATCGAACATGGGCTGTGGTTGGCGGGCAGCTTTGCAGTGTGTAGAAGCCGAGATGGGAAGAGAAACAGGCAAAGGGAAGAATTCTCTTCTCTGTGCTTATATGGGACAGGGGACAGAAACCCATCAAGGCTCCAAAGAGCCCACAGCTGCCTTCCTGCATGGCCAGTGCTGAATTCTGTTCCACCTGCCCTGGGTCGCTCTATGTGATCTCTGGCTTAAGATGCCATAAGGCTCTCAGACTTGACTTAAAACCCATCACAATGGCCTTTGTTTTAGAGAATGCTGGGCATGGGAAGGATGACGTGGGTGGGACGTCAGGACCCCCATAGGCACAAATCCTCATGGGTCATTTTTTTCTTTTTTTGAGACGGAGTCTTGCTCTGTCACCAGGCTGGAGTGGAGTGGAGTGGCGCGATCTCCTTATTGCAACCTCTGCCTCCTGGGGTTCAAGCGATTCTCTTGCCTCAGCCTCCCAAGTAGCTAGGATTACAGGCATGTACCACTATGCCTGGCTAATTTTTGTATTTGTAGTAGCGAAGCGGTTTCACCCTGTTGATCAGGCTGGTCTTGAACTCCTGAGCTCGTGATCTGCCCACCTCGGCCTCCCAAAGTGCTGGGATTACAGGCGTGAGCCACCGTGCCCGGCCCTCAAGGGTTATTTTTCCAACTGAATCCGCCTTCCCCTGCAGCCCACCCTGAGGTGGGGAATTCAAACAACGACATCAACCGTTTAAGGGCAAAAGAATTCTGCAGACAAAGCAGCTCTCCCATGAGGCTGATTTGTGCCCTAGCACATGAGTTCCGGTCCCATCAGCCTATACGGCTGACCAGGGTGTTGAGCAGCACAGCCCTGCCGCCCGGGCCACACCCCTGACCCTGCACTCCTCACAGCTGGGATGGAAGAGGCGGCCTTTGCTGATACACCTTTCCTGAACTCTCTCATTACCTAGATGGTATCTGAAGCCAGAAGTAGCTTCTAAGAATACCAAGTCACTCCAGCCTTGCCTCAGGCAATTATTTAAAGTAGCACTGACAAGAGAAGGCTGAGCCCTAGCATGGCCCTGCCTTCAGTGTCACCCGGAGGTGCCTCCCCAGCCTCAAGGTGGGAGGAAGGATGGCAGAGGGCTGTGTACCGGGCCTAGCAACTGGACAGCAGCTGTGAGTGGGACCCGTCAGGCAGAGCCCATGCCCCAGCCATCCTCACTGCATGATGGATATGTCAGGCAGACACCACCCCCTGCAAGGGCACAGGGGCCTCCTCTAGGAGATTCCCACAGGAGGGAGGGAGGGCCCCAGGTTATACTTCAAACCTCACCAGCACTTTGCTCCAAGGTGTCAAGAAATATAAATTGTTGGTAAAAGATAAGGTGGCGTTTGCTATAGCCTTAAGGTAGAAAAAAGCCACTGCCTTCCCTGTGCAGACTGCCTTGCTCTGTGAATCTGCAGGGAGCCAGTTTTCCTATGAGGGTGTCCCTCATGCAGCTGAGCCGCTGCTGGTCAGTGGCCAGATGGGGCAGGGAGTGGAGGGCCTGTCTCTGCCACAGAAAGGAACTCACAGCAAAGTGCAGCTGCTGGCTCAGGTAGTACCACGTCACGTGGGGGTGCGAGGGTGGAGATGTGCGTGGACATCTACAAGGTGCTAAAGGAGAGGGAAGCCAGCAGTGCCCTGACCCTAACAACATTCTCTCCACAGGGGTCAAGTGCGGGACCCAAGGAAGTCCTGGGAACTAACTGGGCCAGCCTCTGCAAGGCCATCACAGCACTGGGAGAAGCCCATGAGGCAGATGGCCAAGACACGCCTCTCAGCTGCAGTGAGAAACTGAGGCTCAGAGGCACCGGAGGCTGCAGCCAACCTCATGGCCTCTCCACTCCCTTCCCTGCACAGGAACTCAGCTGCAAAGGAAGAACCCAGAACAGAACTGCTGTTTTCCGAGGTTCTGTGCCAACCTGAACAAAGGAGTCTCCCACAGGGCTGGGAGTTTTCGCTGTAAACCCCGGCGCTGGCTCAGAAGTGAGGATCTAAGGTAAAGGCAGCGGCTGCTGTCCAGGAGGCACCGGGCAGCTGGGTCACTGACGTGACCCCACATGCGTGGGCACTGTCCTGTCGGCAGCTGAGGGAGGACCCTCTCTGCAGCAAAGGCCCGTGAACTACCACAGGTCCTCATGTCCAGCCACAGAGTGGGTCAGCACCACACCTGGGTGGACCCAGGGTCCACCCCTCCCAAAGCACACATTGGTGAAACCACCTGCCCCGGGGGTGGGAGGAGGGTGTGATTTTAGCTCTCACATTTGATCTTAGCCAAAAAGCAGAGAAGAGATGTGATTTCAGCTTCTAAATAGTCTCTCGTCTCACCAGGAAGGCTGTATTTCCAGGCAGTGGCCCCCAGTGGGCAAAGCTCTGCCCTGGAACTCGGACTTACCGGGCACCCATGACCCTTCCTGCACGCTCCCACCATGCCCGGCCCTGCAAGCCTTGCTACTCAGCTTGGGCATGAGAGGCAGTGCCCGAGAAACGGCACCCGAGGCTCCCCTAGCCTAGGTGGGATAGAAATACCATCCCAAGGACTGGATTTTGTCATCTCACTTTTAATCAATAAAGACAAGCTGTCCCTAAGAGATGGAAGCTAAAAAATTTACCCTGTTACGGCCAGTGTCACATAAGTCAAGCTAACGGGGGAAAGAAAGAGTAATAATAAATCCGGCTCATTCTTGGTGCAGAAGAAACAACTCGTTAGCATAACTGAGTGGCGGGAGGAGTAAGGTGCTCTTACCTGAACGAGGGCGTTCAGGCCTGTGTCAGAGCCCAGGCTGATTTCTGTGCCCGGGACATTGTTGCTAATGGTGGCAGGCACCAAACACAGAGGAATGCAAAGCTCCTGGTAGCGGCTTCGCGCCTCGGCCATGTCACACACGCTCTTGTAAGCCTGAAGCAGCAGGACCAAGCGGTTGTTAGCGGGGCAGCGGGGGGCAGGTGCTGGGCACTTTCCTGCCAGCTCCAGGGCCTGTGCTGACGTCCAGAAAGGGACAGGACGGGGCCAAGTTGCCAGGGGAGGCCGGTTCATGCAGGTCAAGGGGCCAAGGGGAGCTCTGGAGGCAGTGCAGGAGCAGGCCTCTGTGACATGGGGCCACCTGGGCACAGCCCATGTCCTCATGCAAGGAGGGGCTGCAGGCAGCACAGTGGGGTGGGTGCCAGGCAGGCAGTGGAGTGGGTGGCAGGCGGGACAGCCCAGCTCTCAGCATCTCAGTGTAGGTGAGGGAGGCCAGGGCAGTCAGGACGTTTAAATGCAAAGCCAGTCCTATGGCTAGGTGGGCGAGGGTCAGCAGGACGGGCCCATGGCTGTAGGAACCGCACCAAGTGACCACCTTCGACGTGCAGAGGCGGGCCCTCATGCAGGAAGGGAAGGAGGCATGCAGCTGATTACCGCTGGGCCGAGCTTGGCCCTACACCCGCGTCTGCTCTTTTCAGGGGAGCGGCCGTTTCCTGCCCTGGGCCAGCCGCACACAAAGCCCACAAAGCCGCACAGGCGAGCGAGAACCCCAGTCCCTGTCTGGGGTACTGCTGGGAAATGGGCTCTGACGTCAGAAAAGGGAGCAGTTCTCCAGCCCGTTCCATGGTTTTTTCCGACTCCACCTCAGTGCTAACCACGGGAACAGCCAGACGGGTCCTCGAGCCCACTGTTCCCACCTCCAGGCGCCCCCACACAGCAACCTGGTGTTCTCATCCACTTGGTGGCAAAGCCAACTACTGATGGCCTTGGCCGTGTCCCTCCTGCTGTGGCCATCCCCATGTCTGCTGGAGAACCACGTTCCCTCCTGCTGTGTCCCTCCTGCTGTGGCCATCCCCATGTCTGCTGCAGAAATGCTTCTGTTGGGATGAAGGGCAGGGCCCACACCTCCCCGAGAGGGCTGGACGGTGAGCGACCCGGCTCTGCAGCTCTCAGGCAATCCAAAGCATCCCAAGGCCTGGAGCCTGTGAGGGCCGAGGGCTTCAGACAGCAGGCAGAGACCTGTGGCAGGTGAGTTCACCACGCAGTGGGTGGGAGGGCAGGCAGGGCGGGTGGGTCAGTGCTGGGCGACCAGGAGGTGAGCTGGGAGCAGGGTCCCCCGTGTCCCATGGCACGGCCTTCACGTCCACCCAGGCCCAGCATGTGCCCAGCCCCCGGGCCGCTCTCTGTACAGGGTCTGCTTTGCAGGCTCTGGCCCGGCCAGTTTCTGCAGGATTTCACTCCAAATGCCAGCCTGCTTCCCAGCCAGAAACACAAATCGGGGGGACATTCGCTGGCCTGGTGCGTGGAATATGGCCCCATCAGCACCACCATTTGGGGGTGTCCTTATACTTTTCAGACTAGCGATGTTGCTCACTTACTGTGGAACACCCTACCTCAGCACTGACCAAGACCAGCTGTGGGAAACGGGCTGCTTCTCAGAGAAGCCCTTGCTGGAAGCCAGGAGGGGCCTAGGCACGCAGGAGGGTGGGCGGGGGTACCAGTGCCTTAACTCCGCATTGGAATCTGCAGGGATGGCCGTGTTGCTGCAAACCCTCTCTCCTCTTCCCTTTGCTCCTCTTTTCCTTCCTTCAGTCTCCAAAAAAGGAGAGGGAAACTTCAAGATGGGGGAAACCCTGGCCCGGAAACAGGACTCTCTGCAGACCAAGCGCAGCTGGGCCCCTGGGTCCGTGGGCAGCCACCGTTATAAGGAATCAGTCGCAGGGCTGTGGTCACTGCCATGTTCGTGGCACCTGATGGTGGCATGGCACCCAGCTCACTGTGTTTCTGACGGGACATGATCAAGCTTATGGGACAGGTAACGCGAAACCCCTGCAGCCATATCCTGAGAATGAGAATTTTGCTCCAAAGAATTTTGTTAATTCTGTTCTGCCCAGAAGAGTCGCCAGCATCGCAAATATTCTGAGGGCAGCGTCGCTAAGTTAAGCATCGATGCTAGCAAGAAGGAAATCATGAGTGAGGATGAGGACAGGACGCACATGACCAAAGGACATGACAGCTTCACCACACTGACCCGCCCAAGGCTTCTGAAGCGCAACACGGCGATGCCCCGAGCTGGACTCCCATCATGGAGCCCACACCCCTGTGCTCGGAGGGACGTTCCACAGTGTCCCTGGGCTCCAGCCCCAGATGCTAAGGGCTTCCCTTCCCCCAGTTCTAACCAGAAGCAGCCCTGGACTTGCTGAACATCCCCTGGGGCAAAATCACCCCCGTTGAAAATCCCCAAATTTTGTGAACAAAATGAGCCATTGGATACTGGAGCCATCTATGGAGCTCAAACCAAAACGCTGCCCAGGGCCACAGTGAGTCACCGGTAACAGAGGGTGTGGCTGGACAGGGAACAGACGCTCACTCCCAGGCATCCTCAGCCTCTGACGGCTTCAGGACAGTGACCCAGGTCGAGTGGCCTCGTGCCCTCGCTTCCGGAGGACGCCACCAGCCCCTCTTCTTCTATGGCCAAGAGCCCAGTTCAGACCCAAATCCAAGCCTTCTCAGGATCCACCTTGTTTGGCCATCAGTAAACAGGGCTCTGGAGAAAACAGCTGCTGTGTTCTCATCTCTGCTCCCCTCCCTTTGGGGTCCACAGAGGGACCCTCGGTGGCTTTCTCTCCCCTGCCCCAGCTCCCGAGCAGCTGCAGCCTTTGCCAAGGTGACCTCAGCCAGCTGGCGTCATGTGCCCATCACGAGATTAGAACCACAGCACCCCCAAGACAGCCTCGCTCCCAGGAGCTGAGCATCAGACCGGACCGAGGATGCATACACGCACTTACCAAGGTGGCCGTGCCCAGCAGACAGGAGGCTCAACTAACCACAGGTTCCGGTTCTTTCTCAGACACTGTAATCAGTTAGCTCAAGGCCCAGCATGGTAGCTCGTTCCCGAACCCCCAGTGCTTTGAGAGGCCAAGACAGGAGGACTGCTTGAACCAGAGTCAGACCAGCCTGGCAACACAGGGAGACGCTGTCTCTATATGAATAAGAAAGACTAACTGGGCATGGTGGCACGCACCTTTAGTCCCAGCCACTCAGGAGGCTGAGGTGGGAGGATCACCTAAGCCTGGGAGGTGGAGGCTGCAGTGAATCATGATTGTGCCACTGAACTCCAGCCTGGGAAACACAGTGCGGCCCTGTCTCCAACAACAACAACAAAAAATGGTTTAACCAACTTTGAGAAACCTGAATGAAAAACCGAATTAAAAAAAACTGAATAATAAATCAATCCCACAATCCCTCTAAGAAAAGTGAGAGTGGACGGGACCCAACCTTTCTGGGCTGTTTTTGCCTCAGGTACTTCAGTTTTCAAATTTTGACCCTACCCATTTGTTATATATTTATAATCTAAAAAAAAAGTTATTTACAGCAGAGGACTCTGGAATTAAAAAGAGAGATTGTTTTCTTCATGCCTGAAAGTACCCATCACATACCACAAGGATCTATGCTTTGTGTGGAAATAAACTTGGAAATAAAAAGTCACAGGGAGGTCAACACCAGCCTTGTCCTCCATCTTCAGACCTGCCCACTAAACGCAGTGACAGCTCTCAAATTCTCCACTCATCCTCTTTGGCCAAGCTCCAATTAGGTAACAATTAGGGAAAAAGGGTGTTTCCATCCCTCCCATTACATACTCAACTTTCACAGACCCAAAAATCTAGCTAAGGTGGTAAAAAAGCAGCAGAAGCAATGATGGAATCCACATTCACAGCGGGAGGTCAGCCCGGAGCCGGGCTGGCCCGGCAGCAGCAAACCGTGCCACCCATCACCAGGAGAGCAGAAGCCATGTCTAGGTCAAAGATTAGTGACCGCAAAAAAGAGGGTGAAAGTGGCCCCCAAAGCCAGTGAACACAGGAAGCCCTGGGCAACATTCTTTCGTAAAGAAAGTGAAGAAAGTTTAAGATGCTCAGAAAAGCAGGAAACGAGTGCTAAGCATCACTTACCATGTGAGGTGTATTTTAAAAGCTTGGTTTTTTATTTACCAGTGCTAGAAATAAGTTTCATGCCAAAGGTTTCAGAAAAAGGAAAAAAAAAAACTTTGAAAAATATTCATGCAAACCCAAGTCTCACAAGAAAAAACTTGAGACATGCTGAAAAATTTTAGACATCAAATTTTTAAAAAATGAAATATTTTCTTGGTTAGATATAGATCTTTAAACTCCCACGTGAATTACCAAGTGTGACTCACGAACATGGTAATAGGAGTATATTTCTTTTAGCCTGGCATGGTGGTGCGAACCTGTGGTCCCAGGTACTTGGAAGACTGAAGTAGGAGGATCACCTGAGCCCAGGAGGTTGAGGGTGTAGTGAGCTGAGATCACACCACTGCACTCAAGCCTGGGTGACACTGTAAGACCCTGTGTCTCAGAAAAAAAAAAAAAAAAAAAAATTATATATTTCTGTTTTATTATTGTCTCTTGGCCAAAAAAGAAAAAGAAAAAGAAAACCAACTAAACTAGCCCAGATACTGCCTTAGATGTAATTTAACATCCCCAATTTATAAAGGGGAAAGTGAGGTCAACAGCCAAGATCAAAGAGGTAAAATGCAACCGTGCATTCAGGACAATGAATAAAATTATAAAATATTCAGTTCAATTTCTACCTTCAGCATCAAGGCAGGGGTTCATCAGAGCGGGTGTTGGAAGCACAAAGGAAATTTAGGCCCAGCACAGAAACACAAAACACAGGGCAAGTCTTAATGCGGTGCCATCATACAGCGCCCAGCACTCCTCAGGGCTGCAGGTGCTTACGTGCCCTGCGTCTCGGCCACGCTACCGCCCCCTGGTGGCCACACAGAAGAAGAGGTGGTAAAACTTTTGGGAATGAGATAGAAAATTTTCAGTCTGTAAAGATCCTTTTCTAGGCGGGAAAAAAGAAGGAGAAGCTCTCATTCAGGTTATTTGTATGTATTTTTTTGAGACGGACTCTTGCTCTGTCGTCAGGCTGGAATGCAGTGGCATGATCTCGGCTCACTGAAACCTCTGCCTCCCGGATTCAAGTGACTCTCCTGCCTCAGCTTCCTAAGTAGCTAGGACTACAGGCTCAAGCCACCATGCCCAGCTAATTTTTTTTTTGTATTTTTAGTAGAAACAGGGTTTCACCTTGTTGGTCAGGTTGGTCTCGAACTCCTGACCTCATGATCCACCCGCCTCAGCCTCCCAAAGTGCTGGGATTACAGGTGTAAAGCCACCACAGCCGGCATTCAGGGTATTTGAAAAAGGCCGTTTCTAGCGCACTGGTAGATAAAAAGGGCTGGGGCCCTGCGGTTAGCATCAGCCGGCGACCGCCTCACGGTGCTTGCACGGACTTACGTCAGTGATCGTATTCAGAGCTGTGTCTGCCCCGATGCTGAAATCGGAACCGGGCACATTGTTGGACACAGTGGCGGGAACCATGACCATGGGGACACAGAATTCCTCGTGCTTCTCCCGGGCGGCTGACAGCTCCAGGAGTCCCAGGTAGGCCTGCCAGACAAGTGTGGGAGTTGTGGGGCGAGAGGGAAGCGGGGGAGGCAGGGTCTTGCTGGAAGAGCCACCTCCACCACGGCACACACGGAGCACACTGGGGTGGTACGAAGCCACTACTAGAGCAACACAAAGTCGCATGAAGACCACACATGAGGATCAGCAGGTTCTAGGCACAGAGGGAGCAGGACACCATCAGTTAGAAGACCAACCCTTTCACGCATGGGGCAGAGTCTGCTTTCTGAGGTTTTTTTTTTTTTTTTTTTGAGACTGAGTCTTGCCATCACCCAGGCTGGAGTGCAATGGCGCAATCTCAGCTCACTGCAATCTCTGCGCCGCCCCCCCCCCCCCCCCCCCCCCCCCCGGTTCAAGCGATTCTCCTGCCTCAGCTGCCCCAGTAGCTGGGATTACAGCTGCCTGTCACCATGCCCGGCTAATTTTTGTAATTTTAGTAGAGACGGGGTTTATCCAAGTTGGCCAGGCTGGTCTCCTGGCCTCAAGTGATCTGCCTGCCTCGGCCTCCCAAAGTGTTGGGATTACAGCCGTGAGCCACCACACCCGGCGGGCTCTTACTTTTTCTGAAAGTAAGCAGAAAAGTTATCATGGGACTAATCTTCAATGAATAGAAAAAAAAAATAGTGTCTACAGTCTAATATATGATTTTAAGCAAAATTCTAGGTATAACTACCTTACTCTCTCAGTAGCCACTGGACTCTGAATTCGAGAGACAGAATTACTTCCAGAGACCTGAAATTCATCGAGAGCTCACTGAATAGATGAGTCCCAGTTCAGGGGTCGAGCTTTTGCTTCTCGGTTAAGTTGCTTCATTGGAACTGGATCACTTCTAGGCTACGTCTTACCACCTGCTATTCTTCCATTCTACAATTCTGCAGTGGCAGCTGGGTCTGGGAACCTGTCATCTCAGCTCGTGGCCCGTAGCGAACACGTCGCTTAATGTTTAGCCAACACAGGGCGCGGCTCACACCTGCAAGACTGACAGGCGGCTTAAGAGAGGAACAGTAACTAACGCACCTCAAATCCCCCGATGATCAGCAGCGCGTTGATACTGTGCATGCGCATCTGTGTGGCGATCTCCTCCAAGTACTTTCCCGGGAGAACGCTGAAAACAGCCAAATTGAGAATGATGTCAGACACCCCAAGCTCTAGGCAGTCCGCAGGACATGACGCCGGGAACCCTGGGAAACCATGCTGGTCCCTACTCAGCATCCCTCCCCAGTGTATGGTTGTAAGGAGTGGGGAAAGTTTGCTGTTGCCATTTCACTCGTGCCACTGTGGCTGATAGACGGCAGAATGACCAGGAATCTGATCTCAAAACAGTGTTTTCATGAGAAAATGAAATAAAGCATTTCAGCTGATACCTCGACCTAAAAAGAACTCTACTGCCCCACTAGGAAAATAATTATAATAATAGCCTATAATTATTAACAATTGTTTAAATGGAAATTTCCAGTTTCCAAATAACTTACACATGCATTATCTATCCACTACTGATCTCATTTAAAATCGTATCTGCTCATACCTGCTCTCCCTCCCCTGTGCTATCACTGATGTCACATGACATGGCCAAGAAGTCCAACACCAGACCATGCCCCTCCCTAGATCCCATCCCAAACCTGCCTGAAGCTTCCATGCTGACTGGAGAAAGCCCTTGTATAGTCTTGGTAGATTTATAAGACGTCGTGGGGCAAAAATGTTCAGGCAATCGGAGCACACAAGTGGATGCAGCTAACTGCAAAACTGCGCGGCCCTAACATGAGGTTTCTTAAGCCTCTGCAGGACCAGCCCAGAACACTCTAGGTTTTCAAGAGCAGCACCCTGGCCGGCAGCCCCAGGATGCACACCGAGGGATGCACCTGTCTCTAGTTAGAGCTTTCCCGTCCAGGGCACCGGCACACGGGGCTCATGGGAACAGCCGGGAGGCAGCTGTAGAGCTAACCCTGCTCTGTGGCTCCTTGCCAGTGGTTGGGAGTACCAGGGCCCCAGCTGTAAAGCAAAGCAAAGGGGGCAGCTAACTCCCTTGGAACAAAAAGCCAGAATTATGAGGAATCCATCATTTATTTTATCTGCCAAAAACGACCTCCCTTCCATATTAGAATGTAACCTGTAGTGAGGACAGATATTAATATTCGTACCCCTGACATGATCACAGATGAGAAGAACTCAGACTTCATCTGTATTAGAAAACCCCATCATCCCCAGCGATGCAGGGACGTGGAGGCTTACTGTAGGTCAGAAAAAGACATTTTAGACTAGAATTCCTTGGGTCCCTTCTTGGGCTGTGGAAATCTGAGCCTTGAGTCACAGCTGCTCAGGGCAGCTGTTCCCACCAGTGCTACCTGCTACCAAGACTGCTTCGGCTTCGCTCAGAGTGCGTCACCAAGGCTCCGTGGACTCCCCCTATTTTTTTTTTTTTTTTTTTGAGACAGAGTCTCACTCTGTTGCCCAGGTTGCAGTGAGCTGAGATTGTCATGAGGGGAGAGCTCTCTTTTTTTTTTTGAGACAGAGTCTCACTCTGTCACCCAGGCTGGAGTGCAGTAGCACAATCTCAGCTCACTGCAACCTCTGCCTCCCAGGTTCAAGCAATTCTCCTGCCTCAGCCACCTGAGTAGCTGGGATTACAGGCACATACCACCACACCCGGCTAATTTTTTGTATTTTAGTAGAGATGGGGTTTACCACATTGCCCAAGTTGGTCTCAAACTCCTGATCTCAGGCAATCTGCCTGTCTCAGCCTCTCAAAGTGCTGGGATTACAGGTGTGAGCCACCGCAACCCCTTCACCTTTATTGACCCCTATGGGGAGGTTTAGGCCCAGCAGCTGGAAATACAAATGAAGAAGGCATTCACCAGTTACTGCCTCATCTCTCTCAAGCCCTGGGATGCACCCCCAGCTCCCTGCAACATGAACAGTTCCACTGGAGGGAGGAGGGGTAACCGCCTGCACCCCTCCTTTAGGAACGCCTTTCCAGGAATCGCAAGTTGAGGGGTGTTGACACCCAGCCAGTCTCCTGCAGGACACGGCTCTTCCTTCTTCCTTAAAAGCAGGTCGGAGAGTTGAGATTTGAAACTCACCGTTTTGTTCCGAGAATGGAGCCTCCCTGGCCGGTCCAGCCCCCGACGTCTGTCCAGCCGATTTCTTTGATCTAATGTGCAAACACAGAATGAAACAGCTAAAGCGAACAAACAAAGGCAAGTCAGAAGGTGCTAACACTAGCTTTCTGTGCTTTCCAACAGGCTGCATTCCTGGGAAGATTTGTGATGCATATGAGACCGCTCTTAGAGCGATGCCTGGATCAATCAAGGCGAGAACAGAGTCCGAAGCCAAAACTCATGAACAGCAGCAGAGTGGCTGCCTCCTGCCTGCCGGGGCCTCTGCGGCTCACCCTGCCGCCACGTGAGGTGCACCAGCTCCCCAGATCCCGCCACCGGCCAGGAAAAGAAAAGTAACATGGTTTCTAAATTGGTAAAAGATTAAGGGAAAATTTAATTTCTTATAAACTGGGTAGAAAAATAAGAAGACAGATTACTAAGCAAACTAAGGTAACTGCAGAAAGAGGAGGATGCTGCAAGGGCAGCACAGGCCATGGGAGGAGAACCCCGGGGAGGAGAACCCGCGGGAGGGGAACCTCGGGAGGAGAACCCGGGGGAGGAGAACCCGCGGGTCTTGAACCTCAGCTCCACAGCTTCCGATGACGAGATTCTGGGTAAGTTCACAGATTTGGTGGACGCACTGCTATGTTGCATTGCGATCTCCAGGTAAATTAGGTTATAAAAAAGATTATTCTATATCAAAAGGTAAATATTGTTCAAGGTGTATACACACGCACACACACACACACACACACACACACACACACGTGATCTAAAATAAAGAGCTCCAAGTTGACAGAACCATATCAATCAGTTTTGAAGGCAGTATTTCTCTAAATAAAATAAACAGCCGTTTTAGGCCAATTAATCTTCACGGGCCTGAACAAGAAAGACAGGGAAAGCAGAATCCACCCAGGACAGAACAGTTCCTAATCTGGTTCTTGCTGCTGAGACACGGGTGGCTGGGCCAGTGGAGAAAGGGGATCAACAGTGGTGGAAGGTGAATCGGTGGTTCCCAGGGATGCTGGCGGGCAACTGTACCCAACCTGTCTGTGGGTGAGGGTGGGGGGTCTCCTGCACAGAGGGGTTTCCTCTTCCCACCCTATTCTTTTATTTTTTTTCTTTTTTTGAGATGGAGTCTCACTCTCACACCTTCACCCCAGCATCCCCAGTCCCATCCTCACTGGGAGGACACACCCCTTCACCCCAGCATCTCCAGTCCCGTCCTCAGCCGGGATACACCCCTTTGCCCCGGCATCTCCAGTCCTGTCCTCACCCGGGGAATGCACACCTTTGCCCTGGCATCGTGAACCTCCACTCCACATTCTTCCTTCACGCAGCACATCTCAAGGCTTCCTGGGCCCGGTCAGTTGCAACTCTGTCCCTTCCACCTGCTCAGTCCAGGAATGGAGTGATTCTTCCCTCCTCCGTTTATGCCCATGTGGACTCAGCAAGCAAATCCTCACTCACTGTCCTCTCCCACTCTAAAACCCAGTCTCCACGGAACCAGAGAGTTGTCTGTCCTTTGCTCATTCATTTCCTCGGTGTAATAATTTCACAAAGTAGGAAGCCAGGTGAGGTGGCTCATGCCTGTAATCCCAGCACTTCAGGAGGCCGAGGCGGGCGGATCACCTGAGATCAGGAGTTCAAGACCAGCCTGGTCAACATGGTGAAACCCCATCTGTACTAAAAATACAAAAATTAGCCAGGTGTGGTGGTGCATGACTATAATCCCAGCTGCTCAGGAGGCTGAGGCAGGAGAATCACTTGAACCTGGGAGGCGGAGGTTGCAGTGAGCTGAGATCGTGCCACTGCACTCCAGTCTGGACAACAGAGAAAGATTCTGTCTCAACAAAAATTTTCAGAAAGTAGGTATTTGTTGGTGCAGCCCTGGTCAGGGGCCGAATCTGGGCTCCTGTCCTGTCTCTTCACCCAGCCCGTCGGCATCTCCACGCCTCAGCTCTCTTGTAAGGAAAATGGGGATAACATCTTGGATTTCGTGTGAGGCGTAAACAGGCGAGCACATGTAAATCCCACAAGGTAAGTGGACAGGCGGCACTTGAGGTGCTCACGGTGTTCACGAACGTTTTCGTTTAAGCGGGTGCTTGCACACACCAGACACTGCCCTTTTCAACTCCAGTGCCCATTTGAAACCAACCACAGCCTCCAAGGCGAAGTCACCATCCTTCTCACCCAATGTCGGGGCCATCAGACCCCAGAGGCACCACTTTAGAAAATTCAAAAGCACCTCATACCCAGGGCTCCCGCAGAGGGCCTAAAACCTACCCTAGGCTGGGATTTTACTGCAGAAGCAATGCCTCGAATAAGTAGTCATTCAGTCCCAATGTCACAGGGTCCTAGACTAAAACCTTAAAGGGTGTAAGGGCCATGGAGGGGCCTCCCCACATCCCCCACACTCAGACACCTGCCTGCAGCCTCCTGGGTGACTCACCTGGCCTTTGGCAAAGCCGTCAAAGCCATCATAGATGGCAAGCATCCTGTGGCCGTCGGCGATGCCCATGCGCACAGCTGAGCGCACAGCTGCATTCATCCCAGCTGCGGGTGCCCCCACATTGATGACAGCCACGTTGCAATTGGTCTGCAAGACAGAAGGTGGGCGGGAGCCGGTCATGGGTGCACACGAGCTCCATTTACTGCACACCTTGGCAGTGGTCCATGCTGTGCCAGGCCAGAAAACAGGTGGCCTCATTTGGAGAGGCAGAGACCACGAGGGGAGCCCCACGGGAGAGGTGAGGGAGCAGAAGAAAAACCGGGGCATCACGGGAGGCCGGCCACCTACCTTTGGGATCTGATCATCCGGCAGCTTGATGGCAAGTCGCTTGTAGGTGTTCAGGTTGCCCTCAAAGCTCCTAGAGGAGGAGGATGTGGTCGGATCAGAGTCGGGTACACTGGACACAGTCGGGTACATGGGGCTTGTGTGAGAAAAGGCGGCTTCTCCGCCAGCATTCCGCATGTCTGCCAGCTATCTGGGCAGGAGGAGGAGGCCTCAGGATTCCACACGCACCACAGAGCCCCTGACTGGGCCCCACAGTCCTGTGCACATCTCGTGTGGAAATGGATTAAGGGAAAAGGGCACGCTTCTACACTTCATAACGTTCTCTTGCAAAACATGGGCCACGGCTGGGTGCAGTGGCTCAGGCCTGGAATCCCAGAATTTTGGGAGGCTGAGGTGGGTGGATCACTTGAGATCAGGGGTTCGAGACCAGCCTGGCCAACCTGGCAAAACACTGTCTCTACTAAAAATACAAAAATTAGCCAGGCACAATACATCACTTGAACCTGAGAGGCGGAGGTTGCAGTGAGCTGAGATCATGCCACTGCACTCCATCCTGGACAACAGGAGACTCTGTCTTGAAAAAAAACAAACAAATGTGGGCTACGAGTCACATTGTGCCTTACTCTCTCGTTAGCTCCTAAACAACCCCTACCTCGCCGAAAAGGACCAATGGCAAATTCAGGAAATGACTTTCTCTAACCAGTCGCCAGGCCTGCTATGGCAAAAGTGGTGCTGTGAGTACCGTCTGACCTTCTGAGTTTTCACGTTCACGTGGAATGAGCACAACCCCCAGCACATGTGCGGTGGCCAGGCCTGAGGGGCTCATGGTCCTGACAGAGCAGAGCTCCTCTCCAAAGCACTCACTTCCCCCGGAGTTGAACCGCGTCCTGAAACCTCCGCTCATCCATCGCCTTCTGCACATCCTGAGTCTTTTAAAACAATAACGAAAAGAAAGACTGTGTCAGGACCTGGTACACTGGATGAGGTGGGTGGAGGCTTGTTCAGTCCTTCCCGCCGGCTGCCTCCAGTCTGAGCCAGGCAGCCGGCAGCCCCAGGGTTAATGGTCTAGACCACCAGCCGCCAAGTGTGTCCTGATGCTAGTTGGCAGCTGGCCCCTCACTGCCCGGCTGTGAGGTCGCAGCCCCAGGGTCTGCCTAGCTCAGGAGGCTGCTGAGAAAAAAAGAGGAGGCATCAGCTGCTGTCTGTGGACATAAGATTGTGAAGATTTTACTCTAAGAACAAAGCAAGAGGAAATGAAATCTCTCAGGCATGGTTCTGAGGAATCCTCGATTTGATTATGGTCGGAAAGACCAAAACAAAACACACCAGCTCACTGGGGGATGTGGACAGGAGGGAGGTCTCAGCGGGCGGGGAGCAGAGTCCCAGATGCTCTGGGACACACGGCTGGGACTGACACACACCGGGCAACATCAGGATCTCAGGCAAGTTCTTTCACTCTGAACTTCAATTTCCTCATCTGCAAGATGAGAAAAACACCCCTACTTCCAGCGATGTCTAAGGTCACTCAAACATATCAGACCCTCAGGAAGATGCCTGACAAACAGCAGGTGCACACTAGCAGCTCCCTCGGCCACATAAGGGGGGTGTCAAGGTCAGGGCAAGTTCCACCTGCAGCGATCCTCTCTAGACAAGCAGAGACACGAGACACAGGCCAAAATACGCTTACTGCTTGTAGTTCAGCGGCTGAGCCTTTGAAGCCTACTGCCTCTCACATGCACACAGGCATGCCTCACACACACATGCAGACACATATACATGTACAGGCAGACACTACCTCACACACATGCATACATGCATATAAACATACATCCATACACCGATATGCAGACACAATGTCTCAAACATGCATATAAACATACATGGACAGACTAACATGCAGACACATAACCTCACAAACATGCATAGCATGCATATAAACAGATGCTAACATGCAGACACACTACCTCACACAAAATGCCCAGGCATGCATATAAACACACATGCACACTTATATACTAACATGCACACACTTCCTCATAAACATGCACACACATGCATGTAAACACACATACACACTAACATACACACCTCACATAAACATGCTTACAATAAAAACACATACACTAACATGCAGACACTATACCTCACACTAACATGCACACACATAACATGCAGACACACTACCTCACAAACATGCATATACATGCATATAAACATGTGTACACACATTCAGACACACTACTTCAAACATGCATACCCATGTATATAAACATATGCACATACACTAACATGCAGACACAATACCTCACACATGAAAATGCCTACCCATGTATATTTACATACACACATGCAGACACACGGCCTCACAAACATGCACACATGCATATAAACATACACATAAACATGCATGTACATTTACAGACACGTGCACACACATCTACATACGCACAGAGACACAAGGCCGCACACATTCACACACAAACAAATACTCTCTTGTCCCTTGGGCTTCTGGAAATTATGTTTCCAAGGTGACTTTCAACAAGCCCCTTGACTGAACTGCTTCGTGGCCTCTTTGTGTTGTGATAAGAGGCATTCGCTTCACTTCGGGTCACTGGAAAGACCCAGCAAAGCAGGAGTAATGAATGAACTTTGCAAAATAAAACAACTTTGCAGCTGACCCCACAGCCAGCTCCACCACTGAACCATGACTGGAAAACCAGGACTGCTCTTTCCTTTCTTCACTTGCTGGCAGGCCATTCCCTGGCCTCAAAAGGGTGGGTGCATCTTTGGGTGACCAGAAACCATCCCCATGTCCCACCACAGACCTGAATGTCCTTGGGGAGGAGGACAGGAAGTGACTGAATCTGGAGAGCTTTGGGAAGGTCCCACCTTCCTCTAGGAAATGCCGCCCCACCCACGGTCCTCCAGCAGTGCCTGGTTGTACCAGGGTCACCTGGATCCTCTTGGACTGTCGAGGATCCTGGCACTCTGACCCCCCTTCATGGGAGGTTATGACTACATGCCACATGGACAGTAACTTAGAAAACCAGAGCGCGAAGATGGCACAGGCTTTACAAGTGTGGGTGGGAACACCAGCCTGCTCCTACCCCACAGGCAGCTCACCCCCCTCTCAGAAGGGTCGTGTAACCCAGTGTTTACCAAATAAGCAGTGGACCAGACACCTGAGGTGCCCCACCTGGCCTGACAAGCAGTGTCTGTCCCCAGCCACCCACCCCCGCCCTCGGCCATGGGTCGCCCACTCACCATCTGCACACACTCCATCAGCGGCAGGCGTACAGCGTGGTTCCCACTCAGAGACACGACACAAGCTGGAGTGTCGGGGGTGGCCTCCAGCAGGGCGATGACCGCCTCCACTCCCATGCGGCTCGCCTGGAAACCAGGTCCCTGTGGGTCAGGAGTGGCCTCTGCCCTGCCCCATCCCTGCCGCCTCCTGCTCTCTTTCCATGACCTCCAACCCTTTCAGTCAGGCGCCCACAGCTCTCCCCACTTCCAGCCCAACTCTTTAGAAAAGCAGTTTCCATTAGAATTGGCAAGATGGGAGCAGAGGGGAGGTCAGGGCCAGATGGAGAGAGCAGGAGTGTGAAGAGCTGAGGGTCTGCACTTGGGTTTCCTGCTTTCCTGAGTCGATTTCCAGAAACTCACACTGGGAACAGAGCCTTTCTGCCCTGGGGTTGTGCCCTCTGGGGTCTGCATGGTGCCTTCCCACGTTAGGGAGCTCTCGCGACACCTGAATGGCTGCATGCCTAGAGACTGGCCCCCCCCAGCAGAGGTCTCAAGGATCATTAGGACAAGGCCCAGGCCGCTGGCATCTCCGGGGAAGCATCTCACCATGACGCCTGCACCTCTCTGAAACCCTCCCTCCTAGAGACCTTGTGAACGTACCCAACCCTTCCATCCTCACCAAGATCCTGTCGAATGCCGAAGGGGTCCCTCCTCTCTGCACGTGCCCGAGGATGGTCACGCGTGTGTCGTAGCCCAGCTGCGTGACGACAAGCTGCAAGGAAATGCGTCGTTAGGATGCAGAACCGTGACGCGGACACAGCAGCCCAGACCTGGAAGCAGGTACCGGCCACTGAAAAAGTGTTTGTGCTCTTTCTTCAGCTCTAAGTGGGAAAAAGCAATTCTAGATTTTGTTTCCTAGCAGAACATTTAGTATAACAGGCAGCTGAAGCTTGTTTTTATAAATAATACTTTTGTTACCAAAATCTTTGCTTGCACCCAGAAAATGAATACAAGTAATGTGTTCGTTTAAAAAGAAGTGTCAGTAGTTTGCATTTAAACTATTACTTCTATTTTACCAAAATAACCTCTTCCCTTAACCACCTTAAACATGTTCAGCTACAATTTCAACAGCCACCCAGCACAATCAAGGTGCTCCCCTCGTCCCAGCCAGTGGGCACGCCACCCCGGGGACCAGACAGGCCCCTGAATGTCCCTGAACTCAGCCTGCTCCTCTTGAGAACAGTGGGGCTGGGCTATGTGAATTTCATGTTTCCTTCTTGGTCCAGAGTTGTACAATTTCATCACAGTTAAGTGGGAAATGAAATCTTTGCCTTGACTTTATGGATTACTTGTTTTTGTTTTTTGTTTTTTTTGAGACAAAGTCTCACTCTGTCGACAGGCTGGAGTACAGTGACACCATCTCAGCTTACTGCAACCTCCGCCTCCTGGGTTCAAGGGATTCTCTTGCCTCAGCCTCCCGAGTAGCTGGGACTACAGGCATGTGCCACCACACCCAGCTAATTTTGTATTTTTAGTGGAGACGAGGTTTCACCATGTTGGTCAGGCTGGTCTCAAATTCCTGACCTCATGATCCATCCTCCTCAGCCTCTCAAAGTGCTGGGATTACAAGTGTGAGCCACCGTGCCTGGCCTATGGATTACTTCTTGTAAATATCGGCAGATGTCTTTCCCAGGTGCCTGTCACTGTTTTCACATCCAGGACATGCCTGGCTCAGCTCGTGGTAACAAAGCACAATAAAGAAGCTGACTTGCAAAGCCAGGTGGGGACGTCCTCTCCCCACAGCCGTGGGAACCAGAGCCCATTCTCCAGCACTGGCAGCCTGCAGCCCCATCTACAGCAGGAGCCCAGCCGATGGCATCAGCGTCCTCTCCAGACGGGCGGGTCCAGCCTGAGCAAGCTCCAGGACATGGAGCCTGCCTGAGCCCGTCCCCTGGCAGGCCACGAGGACACAGCGGCTTTGTGAGTAAGAATGTGCTCAGCTGATGGGTTACGGGAGGGCATAGGGAAGAGGAAGACGTCAGCTTTCCACTGTGGCAAACAGAAGCCTGGGGCGGCTGCCAAGCGCTCGGTCCTCATTCTCAGAGCAGCTCACGTCTAGGAGCCGGAACATTCTAATCCAAAGAGCATGTGTGGCCACTCGAGCAACTGCCTTTGTCTACTGGGGAGTCCCGGAACCTCTAGGGGCACAGAAAGAGGGGACGCAAGTGGAGCGGGCACTGTGTTTCCCATGCTGTCCTGTTCTGAGCCATTAGGAAAATGTTTTTAAATATCAAGGATAAAAAGCTAATAATTCGGTGTCCTAAACCAAGCCTGCCAATGACGCTGACCGCCCCTGCTTCCAGGCAGAAACCGAGGGAGAGCAAGCAGCTCCACGCACTCACGTCTTTGATTTTCTCAGAGGTAATGGGTTTATTTTGGGTGTCAATTGCTCCTTCAGCCACAATAATAATATTCAGCCTTTTTTTCCGGGCACGGTTCTGCGGAAACAGAAAATTAAAGACCTCAAATTCCTAATCCTGTTCTTAGCAACAGTGGCAGCAAAACCACAGAAGTCTGTCTCAAACTGAACTGGCCTTTTCCAGGCTGGAATCTTCGCCAAATGTTCTAAGAATTGCTTCCCAATGACACCAGAAGGTGTCGAGAGGTGCTCTGGCTGACAGCAGGGAGTGAAGAGAGGGGCAGGGGTGCAGGGGAGGGGCAGGTCTGGAGGGGAGGGGCAGGGGAGGAGGGGAGGGGCAGGGCAGTCTTGGCTCACTGGAGGAGAGCTCTTTGGGACTGGGTGGCTCGCATCACCACCAGATAGAAATGTGCCCCCAGTCAGCCCCAGGGGGAGGGTACTAGTGTGATGGATTGGGTCCCCACGGGGAGGGGCACAGAGGTAGGGACACCCCCCCCCCAGTACCTCATGCATGCCGAGCTTCCTGCCACCTCCCTGTGACCCACTCCTCCCCAGCCATTCCCAGGGGAAGCCCCGATGCCTGGCCACTGGGATGAGGTTGTACTGCACACAGGCTCCAGCAGCGGAGAGTGTGAGGGGACACACAGCACAGGCAGTGGGAGCTGGCAGCCGCAGCCACACCCGAAAAGCCTCACACTGCTGGACCACAGTTCTGCCATCCCCATCGTCCTTCCTACGCTCACGGCAGTCACATGAGCCTAAATTGGTCACGAAAGGAACACAGCAGCCACTCCATGATGTGGATTAACCTTTCTGCTTTCCATAAAGCCCCACATTAAAGACCCTTCCATAGAAAATGGTAGTGGTAGCTGTGTGGAGCCTGGAGCCAGCAATGCCTGAAGTCCACCTGCCAGAGTCAGGCACACATGGGGCATTCTAACCAGACTCGTTCTGTCTTAAATTAGACCTCTCCTGCCTTCGGTCTCGGCCTTCACAGAGAAGACGTGCCCCACGCTAACAGTCCAAGAGTGAAATACAGAGTGTGACAAACTAGAGACAGAGACACACTTTCACTCATTTAAAACACCATCCCACTGGGATCCTGACTACAGCAAAGCAGTCGGCACTGCCCGGTATCAGTGGCCACGGGACCCACATTACCTCGGAGAGTTTCACACACATCTGCTCCTCCCAGCCTTCCTCTGGTGGAGATTCTGGAAGGAACACCCAGTCTGCACCGCATGCCAAGGCACTCACCAGGGCCAGGTACCTACGTGACAAGGCAAGGGCATCAACACCCAGGAGAGAGGAGCCTTCCCGTGAGAGCACCCGGGCACCCAGTCAGCAACAGATGGGCAGACAGGATGCTGGATACCAAGCGGGATGAAGCCCCTCTGGGACTCTCCATGGGAATGGAGCATTCATGATGTAGGGTGCAGCCTTGGGGAGATGTGCTAAGGGCCCCTACATGAACCACGTCTACCCACTGCTGACCGCAGGTACGCACCCACAGTGTCGCCCCATCACCTCCAGAACGAAGGTCCTCTGGTGGCTGGAAGAGAAACAGAGGGAGCATCCGCTCAGCCCTGGGCACAGCAAGGAAATCAAAGAGAAGGGGCTTTGACAGCCAAGTCAGACAGGAGGCCCGCAGGGATGGAGGCTTCAAAAATGGCCCATTTATACAGAAGCAAACCCTGTGCGGTAGCCCTCCAGATCCCTAGGAGGAACAGGGCTTCAGCCACCACTGTGCTTTCCAGCTGCACATTTCACACCGCCCGCCTGCCTGGGCCCCGGACACACTCACGATCCCCGGCTCTGGGCTCTGCTCTTTCCCAGACAACCTCTCTATGGTCAGTCATGGTCAGTCAGCAGCCACTGTCGAGAGCCCCGGCTGGATCCCACACAGAAACCAGGGAGTGCAGTGTCCCTGTGTCAGTGTGGTTGATGCCCAGAGGCCGTGCTCTTCCCAGGGAAAGGGAAAAGTCCAGCTGCTCCAAGCAGCCTTCCCACTCTGTGGATTTCCAGCAACTGCAGGGGTCATGCCCAGGCATCGAGAATGTGCAATGAGGTGTCACTGGGAATGGGACGCCACACACAGAGGCTTGGGAGTCACTGTGCTGGGGCTGGATTCAGCGCCTCGTCCTTATAGGGGAGACACTGATTCTGTTTACCGTTCCACATGGTTTTCATGCAAGGTGCTTCAGAGATTGCACAGCATCCTGCAGAGTTATTGGAGATAACGGCTGAGCCTAGAGCACCTCGGCTCAGACGCTGTGGCCCCGCCGCCCCACCACGCTTCGTGAACCGTAGGTTACAAGCAGGGCAGGGCATTGCTGGCCGCATCTTTAACCAGGGGCGTGGAAAATCCACACAACAGTTTGCCTTTTGCCATTCCTTCGGGAGATGTTCGGGTACAACACCGAGATAATAATTATTTCGTTTCTCCCTTTCAAATTCCAATACACACATTTTTTCTTTTATCATCAGGGCAAAAAGGAATGTGTTAAAATTAAAAATGAAAAGCAGATCAGAGGACACTTTTCTTGCAACAGTTCCTAAAAGTCAAGTTAGAAGACCAGCACCAGGATACCCAACCTGCAGAATGTCCTAGGGCCCACGGTAACGTCCAAGCTGGGCACACATGGGGCCCCAGGCAGCCTCCTGCCGGTCCCTCTGGGCGCCCTACCTCTGGGCCGTAGTCATGATGGCATCCACCACCTCGATGATCCTGTGCAGGGCCGAGTCGGTGCCGATGGTCATGTCAGTGCCACAGAAGTCATTGTCGATGGATCCCACCATGCCCACCACGTTGAGGTGGGCGTACCTCTGCACGGCCTCCTTCTCGATCTGGCCTGCGTGGGGAGCCAGCAGCCCATCTCATCAGCACTACCAAGGCTTACTCGGTGGTGCCCACGAGGGGTGAGGCAGAATGACAGTGGCAGAGAAATCAACCATTCTAAACCCTTTGATTTGTTACTGGTATAATTTATTATCTTTTTTTTTTTTTTTTTTTTTGAGACAGGGTCTCACTCTGTTGACCAGCCTGGAGTGCAGTGGCACGATCATAGCTCACTGCAGCCTTGAACTCCTGGGCTCAGGCAGTCCTCCTGCCTCAGGCTCCTGAGAAGCTAGAACTATGCCTGGCTGATTTCTTAAACTTTTTGCGGAGCCAGACCCTATGCTGCCCAAGCTGGTCGTAAACTCCTGGGCCAAGTGATCCTCCTTGGCCTCCCAAAGTGCTGGGATTATAGGTGTGAGCCACTGCCCTGGCCAACTTTTTATTGCATTTTCTCAGAACTCTAGGCAATCGGATTCTGTGGAGTTGGATTCTGCATAGACAAGGCTGGAATCAGTTACACACAATGTGTGCTGTCACCTGGCACCGAGACAGAGCAGTGGATTATCAAAGAACAGGAAGGAGCCACGTTTGCCATCGGTAAACAAACCTCAGGATTACCTGGCGGCAGCTTCAGAGAGTGGCACGGCTTTGAACAAGGAAAGTTACAATTACAGAATTGAGAGTTGAAGACACTAGGTCACCTCCATGGTGACTTCTCATGCATCTGTGTGTAGCTGGGTCCAGGGTGGCAACTACCCCGCACTCAGGACAGAACTGGGCTGGGCAGATCTATAGAAAGGGACCCAGAGCCATCAAAGGACCAGGGGCAAGCTTAGGCCTGGACTTGTGGCCTCCATCCCCCACTCTGTGCATGCAGTGGGCTGTGCCAGACCAGGACGAGGTGGATGAGAGGGAACCCTGAAGCCCGGCTGCTTCCAATGAGCAGCGTTCTCTACCCACTACGCGAATGTTCACGAACCTGCTGACAGCTGCTTTGCCTCATTCCAGGCTGCTGTTAAACAATATGCTTCCGGTCATATTTTGTATTGCACTGCAATGACCTAACAACCACTTCAAGAAAGAAAAACTACACTTGGGGAGGCTGAGGCGGGTGGATGACCTGAGGTCAGGGGTTTGAGACCAGCTTGGCCAATACGGCGAAACCCTGTCTCTACTAAAAATTAAAAAATAAATAAATAAATAAATAATTGGATGTGGTGGTGCATGCCTGTGATCCCAGCTACTGGGGAGGCTGAGGCAGGAGAATCGCTTGAACCCAGGAGGCAGAGGTTGCAGTGAGGTGAGATCGTGCCACTGTACTCCAGCCTGGGCAATGGAGAGAGACTCTGTGTCAAAACAAAAACGTACACACTCAACAGGGCTCTCAGAAACGCTTTCCTAAGTAGCGTCAAAGGTGATACTGAATAACCTATCAGCAGAGATTTATCATCTAAATAAAGTCCTGTGACAACTTCAGTTTTCAGGGAACTCAGTGGGCTGGAGGGATGCTGTGTGTGGGCTGAAAGGCGGGCGCTGGTGTCCAGGGTTGGTGGGGACTTGCTCTGCCCCACGGCTGAGTGGCTGTTTGATTCTTCATCTGTAAGTGGGATGATCTCAAAACATGGCTTAGATGGCTGTCGTGAGGATTCCATAAAAGTATCTAGGTAAAAGGTCGAAGACTGCCTGGCATATGGTAAGGTTAAACTGATAGCAGTCTTTTTTTTTTTTGAGATGGAGTTTCGCTCTTATTGCTCAGGCTGGAGTGCCATGGTGCAGTCTCGGCTCACTGCAACACCTACCTCCTGGGTTCAAGCAATTCTCCTACCTCAGCCTCCTGAGTACCTGGGATTACAGGTGCCTGCCACCATGCCTGGCTAATTTTTGTATTTTTAGTAGAGATGGGTTTTCTCCATGTTGGTCAGGCTGGTCTTGAACTGCTGACCTCAGGTGATCTGCCTGCCTCGGCCTCCCGAAGTGCTGGAATTGCAGGCATGAGCCATCATGCCTAGTCATTAATAGCATTCTTATGATCATCACTGTTGTTTTTTTGAGATCATAAAAAGTCCTGAGATGGTAACCTGTAAGATCTGTGACAACAGGTGCCTCTGCCACAGGGAAGGGGAAATGTGTCTGTTTCAAAGCTCTGAAACAGGGCGAAACCTGCAGGACGCGAGAGCAGGTGTCCACTCACCGTTCTTGGCCAGCTCCTCCAGAAGCCCACTCCACTCCTTCCGGAAGAGGTTGGCCCCGGTGAGGCTCCCGTCCCCGCCAATCACACACAGGTTGGTGATGCCACGCTGCACCAGGTTGCAGGCGGCCTTCAGGCGGCCATCCCTTGTGCGGAAGGCCTGGCACCGCGCACTGCCGATGATCGTCCCGCCCTGGGAAAGACACCAGCTTCTTTATCTCCTCTGGGCAGGACGGAAAGCCAGGCAGGTCTCACACAGGCTGACTGTAGGCACGGGGTGCTGGAGTTTATGTTTCCTCATTTGCATCTTCTGAGTCAGTAACTAGCTATGAAAGACCGGCATTTTCCTCTTTTGAGTCCCAGACCAGAATTTCATGGAGAAAGACAGGCACGTCACACCTGGGAGGAGCCAGGGAAAGTGCAGAGCCAGATGCACAGCAGCCATCAGTTAAATATATGGAGCAGGAACCAGGCTGCGGTGCCACAGCAGCCATCAGTTAAATATGTGGAGCAGGAACCAGGCTGCAGTGTCACAGCAGCCATCAGTTAAATACATGGAGCAGGAACCAGCCTGCGGCATCACAGCAGTTGCCCTAGCACTGGCCAACAGGTGTACGTGAAGCAAAAGACAAGCTCACTGGCCACCAGAGGCTGCCAGCCGCGATAAGAGAAGCAGCATGACCTGCGGCCCGGCTGGGCTCTCCCTTGAGTCACCTCTTACAGCAAGCACAAATAAAATCAGCAGGAACCTGGGGCCAAGGGGATTTTGTTTTGTACCATATACCCACTGCCCCTTTTAAAGAGCTAAGTCTTCAGGGACTTAAATTCTGTCATCCAAACTTCCTGGGGACACAGATCATGATTTGTCACACTTGGTTTTCCAAAAACTAAGAATGGTTGATAGAATCAAGAAATGTAGGATTCCTTGAAATGAAATCATGACTGCACCAATATCTGTCCTGGATCCCTAAGCTCACACTGACTCCCTCACGCGAGCTGCTCACAAGCGCAGCAGGCGCTGTCTCCGCGACTGCTGTAGGCAAAGCACTTACTGACCTCGGTCTGCAGGCAGCTCCCAGGAGCCCCCGGCATGGATGTGACAATGTGTGTTTCAGTGTACCCATGGTACCTGCGCACAGCTCATTTTCACACATGGAGACTTATTAATATTCCAAATCCCAGAAAAGTTCATGTCTTTACACGGAACCTACCACCATTGAATTTATCAAAGCATCATGAAAAGGTTACAAAAACTGAAATTCACTCAACACAATCCTGTGTCACTAGTACCAAGTGTGACTGAGACCACTTCTGACATGCCCCCAAGGCAGCTGAGGGTGGGGGTGCAGAGCAGGGCAGGGGTGCTCTCTGGACTCCTTCAGGGCAAAGAGCTGGGGGCAGCACAAGAGCCAGCACAACGGGGTAGAGTCAACAACCCAGAAAGTCCCACCAAAGAGACCATGGGACGCAACTTGGGAAGGAAACCGGGATGACTGGCTGCAGAGGAGCAGCTGTGTTCCCATTGTCTCTCCCTGTCTCCCTCTCCCTCTCTTCCACACACACGTACACACAGACACACCACACACACACAAGGAAAGTGCATATACACATACCCCACAGATGCAGACTCACTAGCCACAAACTTGCAGCCAACACATACGCACGGGTGCACCACACATACACATACACCCTAAGACTCACACACCTACAGACACACACCACACAAACTCACACACCACATACACCAAACACAGAAACACACACTCTTCAACCCCACGTTTACATCTTATCTTCCTGTGTCAGTCACAACAGCACAATGGAAATGCTCTCCTGTCTGAATTCAGCCCACACTGTCCCGATGTTTTGCAAATGTTGCTCCACCTAACTTCCGTGGTTGTCAGAAGTCCCCCCATGTCTCTTCCGATGTGACCAGAGCCTGGGACCAGCACGAAGGTGTGAGCCCCACCAGTGTCTTCAGTGGGGAGGCACTGATCTAGATTATTTTTGTTTTTTCATTGAGACAGAGTCTTGCACTGTCACCCAGGCTGGAGTGCAGTGGCACAATCTCAGCTCACTGCAACCTCCACCTCCCAGGTTCAAGTGATTCTCCTGCCTCAGCCTCCTGAGCAGCTGAGATTATAGGCACGTGTCACCATGCCCAGCTAATTTTTGTATTTTTAGTAGAGATGGGGTTTCATCATGTTGGTCAGGCTGGTCTCAAACTCCTGACCTTGTGATCTGCCTGCCTCAGCCTCCTGAAGTGCTGGGATTACAGGCTTGACCCACCACACCACCCAGCCTGATTTGGATTATTTCCATTAAAAAGTACTCAAAGTGAGCCAAAGATTAACATACATTTCTACAGACCAAACCACAAGTAAAGAGCTTCTCACAAAGTCTGTTCTCTCCACATAATGTCTATTTCTTGAGTGTTCAGAGCTCAAGTGTTCTGCAAATATACTAGACATAGAAGAGTCTCTAACTCAGAGGAACCCAGGGACAGCCGCCAGGTACCCACCACTTGCAGGATGCTGGAGACGCTCTCCCAGTCGGCCTCCACGATGTTCGAGCCTCCATCCACCATGCCCTGGTAGCCCTAGGGAAGATAGGAGAATCTTTTAAAAATGAGATGAACGTCACTAAACGTGAAGCGATCCTTAAACTACATAAAACGGGAAAAATGACAGTGAACGTCAGTGCCTGAGCACTGCTGGTCAGAGACAGGGCAGTTCCTGCACTGGAGAGAGGCAGTGAACTGTGGGAAAGCCCTCACATGGAGTCTCTAGTAACGGGAACGTCTGCCTAGACCCAGCCAAGCAGGGCGAGGAGTCGTCAAGCAGTTGTCCTATGCCCAAGGTTTCCTGAGAGGTTGAAAGTTGCCAGGTTCGCCCCAAGTGATTATTTTACCTCAGCACAAACCCACGGGCACACAGCGATATCAACCATGGGACATACATGGAGTGTTCTGTCAGGGGCTCCACCTGCCAAGGCAACCTGGGCCACTTTTGATGTACGTTAAATATTGTTGAACAGCACAGCTGAATAATCATTGCCTGCCTTACTCTCCATGAGTGATTGCACTGCATTAGGGAATCAGATATCAACATGTGAGGACACAGTGCGAGAAGAAGCCCATGAACAATTAATTACCCCTTTCTTCTTTTCTTTTGAGACAGAGTTTCACTCTTGTTGCCCAGGCTGTGCAGTGGCACAATCTCAGCTCCCTGCAAACTCCGTCTCCCAGGTTCAAGCAATTCTCCTGCCTCAGCCTCCTGAATAGCTGGGATTACAGGCGTGCACCACCACGCCTGGCTAATTTTGTATTTTTAGTAGAAATGGGGTTTCTCCATGTTGGCCAGGCTGGTCTCAAACTCCTGACTTCAGGTGATCCACCCGCTTTGGCCTCTCCAAGTGCCGGGATGACAGGCGTGAGCCGCCGTGCCCAGCCGGATAATGACCTTTCACTTCTAAAGGCATCCCCATCTTTTCCCCCATAGAATATAGAAGACGAGGAAATGCAGCAGTGCCCACCTCACCTTCATCTACGGAACTCTCTTTCCGCAGCATTTAACCTTACAAAGGAATAGCTATTCAGCATTTAGAAAAGTTCGTAATAGGTTATTGGTATATTCATAACCCCTCCTTAGTGAAGGTCAAGAGGACAGAAAAAAAGAAAGGTTTTTAAAAATGAAATGACCCATACATTATGGAGCTGTGTATATAATCAATAGTGCAGGCACACTGATGGCCAATTTGTACACTTATAAATGTAAATTTCCATCAAAATTATTATATATCCATGTGTGTTTTATTTTTTTGAGACAGAGTCTTGATCTGTTGTCCTGGCTAGAGTGCAACAGCGAGACCTCAGCTCACTACAACCTACATCCTCCAGGTTCAATTGATTCTCCTGCCTCAGCCTCCAGAGTAGCTGGGATTACAGGCATGCACCACCACAACTGGCTATTTTTCATTTTGTATTTTTAGTAGAGACAGGATTTCACCATGTCGGCTGGGCTTGTTTCTAACTCCTGACCTCAAGTGATCTGCCCACCTCGGCCTCCCAAAGGGCTGGGATTACAGGCGTGAGGCACCGCACCTGGCTCTACGTACGTTTATAATCTAGTCATATATGTAACAAACAAGATAGGAAGAAACAGTCTGGAATGCAACAGTCATGCACTGCCTTTTCTGAAATGAACAGAGCAGTTCATTTCAGTGCTGGCAGCCCCATCGGCACCTCCTGAGGACGCCCAGGCCCCAGCCACTCACTCACAGCTGGTATGGGGCTGCCTATCACCAGTCCCCCTACCTCCATGGCAAAGCAGTGGAACATCTTCCAAACACACCCCAGGCCCACTCTAGGGATCAATTATTATTACTATTATTTATTATTATCTCCCCTCACTCTGAAAACAGATTTCCCATGAAGTGCAGGTGAGCGCAGTGTAGCTGTCCCCCGGACGGCAAGGGTTAAGCATGTGTGAGGTTGGATGCAGGCCTCCCCTGTGCACAGGGCGCCCTGGGAGGCACCCTTTATGTTCTGTCCTGCTACGCGTGCTCTGTCCACACAAAGACACCCCAGACACAGGCAGCCCTGGGCAAAGCCGAGTGACTCCTAGAGGCCATAGTCCTTAGAATACTAGAATACAGTAGGTAGGTAGGTGGGTGGGCAGCTATGTAAATAAAGGGATAACCTAGGCTGGACGCAGTGGCTCACACCTGTAATCCCAGCACTTCGGGAGGCCCAGGTAGTGGATCACCTGAGGTCACGAGTTTGAGACCAGCCCGACCAACATGGAGAAAACCCATCTCTACTAAAAATACAAAATTACCTGGGCATGGTGGTGCATGCCTATAATCATGGCTACTTGGGAGGCTGAGGCAGGAGAACCGCTTGAACCCAGGAGGTGGAGGTTGTGGTGAACCGAGATCATGCTATTGCACTCCAGCCTGGACAACAGGAGTGAAACTCCATCTCCAAAAAAAAGAGAGATAATCCAGCCTTGGGGTTACATTTTTAGTGATCTCTACCACTGCAAACTCCCAGGTTTCTACTAAGAATTATGCTTCATTCTGAGTGCACAACAGAGCGCTCCATTCTTCAGTTCTGGGAGCAACACTGAACAAACGGCCATCTGTGGCGACCCTGACTTTCCAGCTTCACTTTGGTGAAGCTTGTAGGGCAAGGAAGCAGGCGCGTGGCCTGGGCCAGAGTCGGAGCCTGCAGCACCGTGCCGAAATGAACCCTTCTTAGGTGGGTGACGTCCCATCTTCCAAGTTCACATCTGAGGAGGAGAGAAAAGATGACCCATACTGAGGCCTGACCCTCGGCAGAAACCAGGAGCTCCCTGGGCGGATCAGGATGTAGAGCAGCCGTAACCCCGGGCTCTGAGAAGGCTGAAAACAGAGAGCTACGAGATTCCCACACCCGGAGCCGCTGCGCTCCTTTCTGTGCAGGCAATAAAAGAGATAGAGGGGAAGGGGCCCGTCCCACCACCGCCCTGCTGAAGAGGACATGCCAAGGGTCAACCCTGCACCCCAAACAGCGTGAGCTTTCAGACTGTTTCTGGAGCACGTGCTATCCTGGATCGAGTCACCCCCACCTGGCATTTTACTACTTAATATGCCATAGTGGGAACCACACAATTTCCTTTCCCTGCATGATTTCACAGAATTTAAATACGGGTTTCCTCAAACCTCTTAACGAATCCCTTGCTTCTAGAGTAATAAGAAAACTGCTCTGCAAAACATAACATTCTGAAAAGTAAAATGTTCTCTTAAAATAATTTCATTATTTTGTGTTGCATAGATGCATATGGCAAAGAAAGCAAGTAAAAAATAAAAAGGGAGAACTTTCTGAGTGCCGCCTCCAAAGCTCTCTCTAGTGCGCGCATGAGCTAAGTTGCTAGGAAATGACTCATTCTTTAATTTGCAAAGTCACGGTGCCCACGGAACATCTGAAAAATAACTACCAACTCCAGTTCTAAGCTGTCTTTCACTAACAAGGAATATATTACTAAATTAGGAAGAATGATTTTACCCAAACCTACTACAACGCACAAATTCAGATGAGGTTTCTCTATTGAAGTCTTCTTAGAAGGCTGAATAAATACATATCTTACTACAGCCGAGGCTCAAACATTTCCTCAAACACCCTTTTGAAATTTGCCTTCTAAGCCGGTTTGATGACTCACACAAGAAAAACAGAGCATGAAACCTTTAACACTATGCTGTTTTTTCTTTTGACCCAAGTAACGCTCTCTATCTTGCTGAGCCTGACTCACAAGATGAACCTTAGAGCTCCTTGCTGGCCGCATTAGATCCATTGTTGGGCAGATTTTTTGATATCTAAGAACATGCCACAGGCTCTGAAGTCATTTTAACTCATTAAAAATTGTTTTGAGCAGTGTCAAAATAAGCATAGCCTTCTAAGCATGCTGGAGATAGTTCTATATGCAGAGGTGCTTTTGGCCAGAAGTTTCAGCATTTGTTGAATCCATCGTAAGTGAAGTAAGCTAGTTCACCTATGGGTGGCTTTCTCTGCTGTGACATCTCATATGTATTTTTTTTAAGTTAAAGATGAAGGGAAATTACAGTCTTGGGTTGCAGCAGTCAGCTTTTTCTTTCACAATGCTTGTTCCATGGTCCCATGTCTTCTCAACTGGATGATGTTTTTTCCAATCTGATTTCCTGAATTCTTCACTCAACTAATCTCAAATGCTGAGCATTCCAACGACCAGAAGAAAACAAGCTGCTGGAGATAACAGACTTTAAAAGTGTCTTCCAGACGTGTTATCACCAGCTTCCTGCAGGTGCAGTTTCTGCACATAGAGATTTATTCACGGGCTTTGCTGCATCTGAGTAAATCCTCTTTGTTTCCTACAGAATCAAGCTTTCTCTAGCTTACTCCTTTTCCCTCCCCCACAGAACCTAAAGCTATAGCATTCCTTCATAAATAAAGCATTTCACTTCTAGACTCAGAGCATGCATGCACAGGGGTCAGCTCTGAACAGCTATCCAGGCTCAGACTCAGGAAACACCAGCATTCAGAACTAGCTAAGCATCAAAGAAAGGAGGAAGTTCCCTATGCCAGTGGTTTTCAAAGGCCAGGAATTGTGGCTTTATCCTGTTCCTAGGAAATTCAGAGGTAGAGCTTGAGATTAAACCACCCGAGCCAACACACACCCCAAGCCCTGCCTACCTCCCACCAAGGCTCTAAAGGAATGCTCTCGTCCAGAGAACCTTGCAGTCACCCCCCCGAAAGCATACTTGCCGACTTCAGCCTAAGGATTTGTTCCCGGGAGACTCAGTCAACTCTAAATTCTAAAATAGGTTAGAACACGACTCGGCATCGTGTAGCCCTGCCCCTCCTTTGGAAGACCAACAATACAACGACATGATGTAGTTAGCCCTCTGGCATCATAGACTTATTTCAGCCAAAGCTAAGAGTGCACAATTCCAGGTAAGTTGTACAATCAACAGCTGCAGTAGGGGCGAGGCCAGGCGCCCTTCCTTCCCTGTAGAGAGGGGGTCCCTGTAGAGAGGTCACTGGCCTGGCAGTGACCTCACAGCAAAGACCTCCCTAAGGATCAT